TCGCCTTAACTATTAATGTCTGCCCTATTAATTTAAACTGGATTTCACAAACATGGCTTGAGGATGCACACCAATGCATATTTTTGAGGGAAAAGAAAAATAAGAAAATTAAAATCAATTCAATTCGTCACTCCCTCTTGTCCATGACACACTTCTGAAAGGTTATAATTGCTCCACATTTCACACTGTGTCCTCTGCTCCTGGATACCCAAACCAATGGAAATAGGTTTTGTCCATCTCCCCTATCTGTTTATCTTAATATATTGTAGATTTATCTCATCTTTTATTATTAGATTTGCCCAAACTCCTTTCCCATTTTGCCTATCTTTTCTATAAGTCAAGGAGATCACAGAATTTGATGGGCTAAATGTTCCCTTTATGTGCCGTAATGATTTGATGACAATGAATTAAAAAGATTGAGTTTGACATCTTAAGTTTCATGAGTTCGGCAGCAAGCCTGAAATCTCCAGTTTCTGAAGAAGGGTCCAGACCCAAAAAATCAGCTTTCCTGCTCCTCTGATGCTGCCTGGCCTGCTGTGTTCATCCAGCTCCACACCTTGTTGGCTCAGAATCTCCAGCATTGGCAGTTCCTACTATCTCTGAAATCTCCAGTTAATGTTTCAATGCACCCAGGAGCTGGTTTCCAGGTTGAGAGTGACTTCTGTAAGCGAACCTCATTCAGTCCAGTTCTCTCAAAATTTTACTACAGATCAGAATTCATTGCTGTGAATGTGTTTGTTTGTTGAAATTGTCCCAGGAATTCCTGGGAATGGAGTAAGGATGCCGGTTGCTATGAATTTACAGCAATCATCTGTTAAACCCATCTATATACAAATGTTAATCAGAACAAGATACAAAGAACACTATTTTGTTGGAAATTACTGAGCAAGATGGTGAATGGAAAACAATGCCGTGGTGCACTCTTAGAACCAATCTTTTCACTTGTTTGTTAAGCAAATAGTTAAATATTAAAATAGTTACAAATATGGAAACTGAGGGTAACACATTGCATCTCCATGATGAGCCAAGCCATCTGGACTACACAATGTGTTCAAACAACTTCAGTGAACTGAGAATGTTCCCAAAATCTGGAGCATTATTGAGCCAAGAAGGAACCTGCTTGCCCTGACTTTACACTCATTTTATTATCCCAGAAGGACTTCTTTTCGCTTAGAATCTCTGATGACACATTTAGCATTTGTTATGTAACATGAAACACATAAATAATGAATTTGCTGTACTAATAAGCAATTCCTCTATTTACATGTAACGAAACCCATTTAAACACTCCTTTTTTTCCAAATAAACACTTTCTCATTTTTAACGCTGAATTGTTGACTATGAATAAAAACAAAAATAACAGTAATAAATGCAAAAAAAAGCATTAACACCTAAAACCTGTGAAAGCAGATTCAGACAAAAGAATACTTCACTTACCTTTTGCAATGTTTAGTTGTTTCTAGTCAGCCTAAATCGGTTTGTGAACTGCATTATCTCATGTCTCACACCAACTATCCCTTTGACAACACTTGTAAATCCACAAGTGAAGGAATGTGCTTTGTGATCTTGGACTTGCTTCTTTCAATGCTCAGTGGAGGCCATAACCCCCAACTGTTGTCATAGCAACACTTTCAAGAAGAAGGGCAGCCCAAGGTCCACATTTAATTATTAACACAGCAGGGAGACAAATAACCTTCATTTACAATTACAGCATCTAACTTCCTTCCTAGTTTAAAAATACAAGATACTATTTGAGTTTACAGCACAAAACAATTTCGCCAACTGAACTCAGCCAAAGCACATTGAGCTGAATTTTACCGTTTGAGTTAAAGTGTTTTGTCAAGTGAGATTCACGACACCCATCCACTATAGGTTACAGCAGTTTTTCTCATGCAATTGTCTGCTTTTCACCTTATTAATTATGCATTCTGGTTCTTCATGTGAAACCATGCAACAGGAGAAGCAAAAAGGCTCTTTGTCACTTGGATCTTCTCAGGTTTATGCCACTAGCTTCATATATAAAGCCCAGTTGCACACCTCTTCCGGCAAGCCAGGAACTGGCCCTTACGCTGTATTAATCAACAATTACAAATAGGGACATATGTGCTGAAAGGAAAGCTGTTAGCTGGAGGTCGTGGTGGACAGGGTGGTGGACAGGAGGACAATGCTTTATCCTCTCCACTCAGCAGCTGGTCAAGGAAGAAACGCCTTCGTGCCTTTGGCACTCAGAAGACAACTGGAGACCAGATGACTGCTTAGTCCCATGTAGAGGATGATCCCATGGTCTTGGCTATTGAAGAATTTGTCAAAATGTACCGAAACAGCAGGCAGTGCAGCTAATAAACTAAATCAAAGGATGAAGGAGTACACCAACATTATTAGTATGGGGTAGGTTTTGGCATGTATGTGTCTGGCTGTCTCTGTGGAGAGGTTGGTGACCACCTTGGAGACCCAACACTCTCAGCTTCTGCTGGATATGCATCTGGAGCTGCATTCCATCACTGCAGTCATAGGTGCTCATCATTAGTGGCAAGGTAAGGATCTTTGACCTCATTCCAGGTATCTCTTCCTCTCAGGTGACAGGGTGGTGCCAGCTTGCACCCATTGTGAGCGGGAGCCATAAAGGTCCCCGACCTCTTCACATTCACACTGCCTGTGATCCTGAAGCCTGCAGATGTTCCAGTCAAGAAAGAGGAATCAGCATCTGGGCAGGATACTCTCAATATGATCTGGGCCCTTTAGTCCCAGAGCTGGCCAATGAATGGGAGGTTCAAAAGGAGATTCCTCAGGATGCTTATCATGAGAGATTTCACTATAAAACACACTGAAGATTTAAGAGTGACCTAACCATAGCCCCATGCAGTGTTAGTTCCTTGTCTCACTGTTTGCTGCATTTTCCCTAATGGTCAGCAGGATATGCAATGTGTAGGTCCTTGAAAGTGGGATCAGTTCAAGTTATGAAGCGTACAGTCAAATGGGTAATGAGACCATTTATTCAGCAACTTCCACTCTATCTCAACTAGACTCAGGAACACAATCTAGAAAGGCATGACCACAACAATAACAAGCTCCACATGTCCAGGAAGCAGGGGATGCTTGCCACATAAGCAACAGAAAGGAAAACACTTAAAGGAAACCAAACTGAGCTCACTCATCCTAGAAGTGGGTTTCAATTAGTTTTCTATAGCACCTGGGTTTCAGTAATGCATTGTTCTGTTATGCTTTCTTGGTTGTCCCTCCTGGTCAATGTTCTGATCCTCATCTTCATCCTCAGAAGATTGCTGTTCTGCATCCAGAACATCCTCTTTTTGTTGGCTTCATTTATGAAGAGAACTGCATGGCACAATGATATGGGGTATCCTTTCTGGGATATACTGTAAGGCTTCACAATAGGGATGTAGGCATTGAAATCTTATCTTGAGGCCTATGGTCTGTTCTACTATGGGCATGGATGAAGTGTGAGCGGTGCTGTATTGTTATTCTGTGTTAGGCTGAAGGTTTTGTAAACATGTCAGGAATCTTGTTTGGAGGGGTTAACTCCATGAATTCCCTTAACCTCTTAACTCTCAGCCATCCCTGTATGGCACAAAGACCTTGGAAAGAGGTAGGAGCCTATGAATTTTCCAGTAGGTAAGCATTATTGCAGCTCTCAGGATAGCCAGTGCAGACCTCCAGCTTAATAATATTCTTCCCATGACAGTGTGACCAGAACCGGACACAGTCCTCCAGAAATGCCTCATCAACATCCTGTACAACCTCAACATGACGTCCCAACTCCTATTCTCAAAGTTTGGAGCAAGAAGGCAAGCATGCTACTACACCCTACTACACCCTATCTATATGTGACGCATACTTCAAAGAACCTGAACCCGTAGGTCTCTGTGTTCTGCAATACTATCCAAGGCCCTACTTTTAATTGCATAAATCCTGCCATTTGTTCATTTTACCAAAATGCACTACCTTGCATTTATCCAAGTTAAACTCCATCTGTTACTGTTAAGCCCATTGTCTCAATTGATCAAGATCTCTTTGTAATCTTAGATAACATTCTTCACTGTCAATTATACCACCAATCTTGGTGTCATCCACAAACTTACTAATCACACCTTCTATATTCAGCACCCAGCACTGATCTTTATGGAACACCGCTGGTCACAGGCCTCCAGTCCAAAAAGCAATTCTCTACCTTTACTCTCTGTGTCCTGCCGTTAAGCCATGTATCCAATTGGCAAGCTCACCCTCAATCCCATTGTGATCTAACTTTACTCACTAGTCTACCATGTGGAACCTTGTCAAAGGCTTTACTAAAGTCCAAGTAAAAAATATTTACTGCTTTGCACATATCAATCTTCTTGGTTACTTCCTCAAAAAACTCAATCAAGTTTATGAGACACAATTTCCCTCACACAAAACCATGCTGACTATACCTAATCATTTCGTGCCTATCCAAATGCATATAAATCTTATCTTTCAGAATCACTTCCAAAAACTTACCCACCAATGTCAGATTCATTAGTCATTAGCACCCACGCTTCTCTTTACATCACTTCTTAAACAAAGGCACAACATTAACCATTCTCCAGTCATCCGGCACATCACCCACTGTATTAGATGATGCAAGTATTTCTGCAAGGGGCCCCACATCATCCCCCCTAACTTCCCACAAAGTCCTGGGATACGTTAGATCATGTCCCAGAGATTTATCCACCTTTATATTTTCTAAGACCTCCAGTGTTTCCTCTATGTAATGTGACCTGTTTTCAAAACATCAATATTTATTTCCCTGCATTCTCTAGCCTCCACTTCTTTTGCCACAGTTAAAACTAATGTGAAATATTCATTTAATATCTTTTCCATCTCCTGAGGTTCAACACAAAGATGACCTCTTTGATCTTTAAGGGGCCTTACTCTTTCTCTAGTTGCTCTCTTGCTCTTAAAATACTTGTAGAATCTCTTTGGATTAACCTTAACCTTATTTGCCAAGGCTATCTCATATCCTCTCTTTGCCTTCCTGATCTCCCTCTTAAGAGTGCTCTTACACGCTTTATACTGTCCATGAGATTCATTTGAACCCAGTTGTCTATATCTAATATATGATTCTTTTTTATTCTTGACAAGAACCTCAATATTTTTTATTCATCCATTGTTTTCTAATTCTGCCGGCCTTCCTTTTCACTCTAACAGGAACACGGTGACACTGAACTCTCGTTATCACACTTTTGAAAGCCTCTCACTTATCAGACGTCACTTTACCTACGAACAGTCTACTCCAATCCACTTTTGTAAGTTCTGTCGCATGCCATTAAAATTTGCCTCCAATTAAAAAATTAATTTTTATGGAAGGCTCATCCTTTTCCATAACCATTTTAGAACACATAGAATTATGATGACTAGACCCAAAGTGTTCCCTTACTATCACTTCTGTCACTTGTCCTGTCTTATTACCCAAGGGTACATCAAGTTTTGTTCCTTCTCTAGTAGATTTGGGTATCATCATTTGTTCCACCTCATTGTTGGATCTGCTTGGGCAGCAGCCACTGGAGGTTACTGTTTCTTCTGAGCGTGCTGAAAATGTTGTAATTGCTCTCTCCTTCTGCGTTGTCTTCATATTTGAAGCGGCATCACAAGGACTCCAGCTCCAGAAATGTCCATGTCAGATATCACAGCAAAGAATCTGTTGGGAATGTCAGAAAGAGAAAAAAGTTTCATTAGCAGTACTCCTAAGTCCTCACATCAATCACAATTTCTGACTTGATAAGGAGCACTGATGTATCCAAATAAACAATTGTATGTTGCAAAAAGTGTTGATGCTGCACTGGGAATAGAATTCTGGTAGTAACCCACCATGATAGCACTTTCACCCCAGCATTGATAAGGCAAGCTTGCACATCACGGATCACATATCTTGCATTCTTCCAATTCAACCTGGGAATGTGGCAGTTGCAAAGCATTGTCTTCCAATGATAGTCATGGAATATACTTCAGAAATGCCAAGCCCAGGTGACATTTTTAAATTGGAGTCCAATTATAGTTGCCCATCTGAAATGGCATGGAGGACTTAGTGCAAACAATATAATGCTCATGATTGCTTGGGGATGTAATTTTTAATGTCCATGGACAATGGATGATCTGCAGATGAACTGCAAATTGATGCTTGATGGATGGCATTACTGTATCAGTGAAAGCATGCTTAATGCAATTCTCCTGAAGAGGGTCTCAAATCTAAACAACTTTTCACTATTCCATTAAAGAACCAGCAACATACTCCATCTACCCTGCATGCAGTCATAGCCATTTTGAAACATTATTGCACAAGATGAAAATATTTCAATTTCATGTTCTTGTGAGCAACTTGCAAGCTCTGCCTGAGACCACAGATGAATCTTCCCCATCCTTCATGTTCCCTTTTGTATTGCTGTCACTGTGGCCCTGATGACCTTTCAACATTCCTCTCATTTCATTCCATCCATTATAACCTTTAATGTTCCCAGTTTACTTCCAGAGCCCATGACTTTGTGAATTGCTGTGTCCTTGTTGGCGCAAAAACCTTCTTCATGTGGAGGCCATGTAAAACCCCTCCTGGAGCTCCCTTCTACGCTGTATGAGATCCCACTCTTCTTTCTCCAATTGCCTCCTTTTGCTGTAATCATTCCTTCAGTGACCAAATCCAATGAAGCTCATCCCCCGACTTGATTTGACCATTTTCCATTGGACTCTCTACATCTCCCTGATCAGCCCCTTGATCATTACTGCACTAACCCCTGGAATGACCGGGCAGGACAGCAGACTGAGCATTGCATAACTCTGAACTGTTGTCTGCAAGGCACTCTGCCTATCTACCTGAAATCTCTGGATTTGATTTACAGGACTGAGCAAAGCCCAGTTCTGCACTTCAAGGATACAGAACTCTATACTCTGGTAGGACTAAGTGCTTGACTGACCATGGTCAAATTCCTGGACTGGAATTTGAGGAGCCCCTTGGCTGACTGCTGCGTTATTCCCTGACTGACCATAGTAACCCTTGACCCCATTAAGGACCATTAGCTCCAGGCCTAACAAGCACAGTTGATAGAGCATGTCTTAATCTTAGAGTGGCTAACTAGGAGTGAATATTTCATTTTGATCTCAGAAGAAGGAGTTCCACTTTTCAGATAGAGATAGAGGAATTTCTTCTATCAGTGAGTTGTGAATCTAAGGAATTCATTACCACAGAGGGCAGTTGAGGTTGGTCATGAAGTATATTCCATGCTGAAAGAGACAGATTTTTAATCGGTAAGGGAATCAAGGGCTATGGGAAAATGGCAGGAAAGTGGAGTTGAGGATTATTGGATAAACTTGTTCTCAGTGAATGGCAGAGCAGACTCGATGGCCTGTATAGCCTACTTCTGCCCTATCTTTTATGGTGTTATGATCCCCTTTGACTTTCTGACATGGCCATTTGTTTGTAGGATATACAGTGTGTTTGACCTGTAAAGTGCTTAAACATGCTGTAAGTGTAACATTGAGGTAGTGCAGCGCATGTCTACCTTCTTGACTGTTCAGTGCCTCCAAATTGGGAATTCAACTCTCCTCAGACCCTGCTCTGATTGAACAAACTCTCCACTGGGATTTCGCAAATAAAAAGGGTCACTGAGAAATCCTATTTTAAAAGAAAAATCATTACACATTAGCTATGATGAGTTTTCAGTGAAAGGGTCGGGAACGAATACTTAGTTTTTCAAAGTAATGCAATTTTTCCGACTAACCTGCATTGTTAGAGGAATGGAGGAGTTGTTTGAAGGGGGAATGAGCAGCTTTGGCATCCTTCCTCTGGCCGTTGTGTATCAGGCAGTGCGGCACTCCCCACTCAGTGCTTGGCTGTCTCATTGAGTACACAGACAGCCTGCAGGGTCGTTGACCTGAGCATAGCTAAGGTGACTCCCCGGGGTCTCTGGCAGCTACCTGTCTGCTGTGGAGTGCATTGCCCAACCAGCTGCCAGCTTAATCCCAGGAGTGTGATCCTGGATGACACAGAGTTTGGGACAAACAGCTTTTATTCACAATTTCTCTAAGAACGAAGAACAAAACTTCTGGCACCAGTCATTTGTTACAGACAAACTGCAGTGTTGGCAAAAGTCACAACATTTAAAATACTGTTTTAAAATCTCCTGGAACGCTTTATTTGGCCACTGGGCAATCAATCCTGATTCTGGTATACTCTCAATGTCCTGGGAGGATTGGCAACTCTAGTTTTTGAGAGGAGATTTACCACAATGGTTCCAGAGATGAGAAATATTAGTTATGGGGTTAGGTTGGAAAAGCTAGTGTTGTTCTCTTTGGAGATTGAGGGGAGATTTGATCAAAGGTGTACAAGTTAAACATAGTCTTAGATAAGGTAGACAATGAAAATCTGTTCCTATTAGCTGATGCACAATGACTAGGGCACACAGATTTAAATTGCAACTCACTGCATGACAAAAATCTTCTTTATATTCCCATGGGGAAGAAATGCATGGGGAATATTAAAAGATTTTTGTAATGCAGTCAGTGGTAATGACCTGGAACTCTCTGCCCACGAGACTGGTGGAAGCAGAAAGAACTATTTCAGAAGGAAATATGATGGACATTTGAAAGAAATAAATTTGCAGAGCTACTGGGATTGAGCGAGCAAATAGAATTGACTGCAGTGTTTTGCAGAGAGCCAGCACAGATTTGATGGGCAGGTCATAAATGTCATAAATTACTCAATGCCATAATTTACTCTATGATTATTCTATAAAAGGACCTTAGTAAAATTGAAGTCAATGAGAGGTTGGGATAGCTGTCCAGTCCCTGGTGACATATTTAACACTAATGTAGATGCAATTTTTGGAGACCCAAGCCCTTGCACCTTGCTGAGAGGAATGTGGAAACATGGGAAATAGGAGTGAGAGTAGGCCATTCAGCCCATTGAGTCTGGTCCATTTTTCAACTCCTCAGGGCAGCATTACTGGATCAATAATCTTCAACTGCTTTACTAATAACATTCCCTACTTTAAGAAGTCAGAAATAGGGCTATTTGCTGATGATTTCACAGAGTTCAGGTTAATTTGCAGTCCCTCAGATGAAAAGCAGTCCTTGCCCATATGTAGCAAAACCTATTCAGAGATAGTAGGAACTGCAGATGCTGGAGAATATGAGATAACAAGGTGTAGAGCTGGATGAACACAGCAGGCCAAGCAGCATCAGAGGAGCAGGAAGGCTGACGTTTCGGGCCTAGACCCTTCTTCAGGAAGCCTACAAATTTGCTATCATTGGAATACCAATGAAAACGACAGTAGTAGCTGATTAGTCCAAGTTTCCTTGCTAGCTTATGTGTAAGAAAATAACCATTTATTACATCTAAAATACATGTGTACAATTAGAGTGGTTGTCATAGAATTATCTTGATTATCTTATTGATTTACAACGTAACGGAGAGGCTATTACCCAAAAACGTCTGTCTATAAATTGGCCCGTTTTTGTTGCTTGGTAACCAAGGAACCAGTTTGATAGGCAGGAAGTGTGTACATGTTTCCAGTCAGAAGTGGTGGATAGTAGATGAAGATAAAAATGTGTCCTTTACCCACATTAGAAACAGGTCACTTCTATTTCGGCTATAATCTAAGAAACCAAACCTAGGTGACAACAACTTTTCCCAACCAAGAACATAAGTAAGAGACCTGAATGTGGAGAAAGAATGACAGCATTCTTCCAGAGTGCATTTTAAATGACTGATCACTGCCTCTCACCCAACCTGCCACCAGTTACCGCCATTTCTCACATCTGCTCCACCTCAATAGATCAATATAACTTCCTTCCTGATCTTTAAATCCTGACCCATTCCTAATCCTCAATTTTTCAATGGATATTGCTGAAATAAAACAGACCTTTTGTTGAGGTTTTTAGTCTTCCACTTGTCAGGACAGAATCACAAAAGTACCAAATTGACCTGGTAAGTTTGAGGCTTGATAGTTAATTGTTCCCTCGTGACTACCTTACAGGAGTAGTTGACTATACAGTCCTTTGAAAATGCATTGAGTTCATGAAAGGTGTGATATAATGCATTGGATGCTTGAGTGAGGTAATATATGGGCATTAGTGAAAACAATATTTTTAGAATTATCATGATCAGTCAAACCAAATTTATTGAAAATGCAATGTTCATGAGACCACAGGGTATAGGAGCAGAATTAGGCTAGTTGACCCATCAACTGCCCATTTCCAATCCCTGATTGTGAGCATCATGTCCTGTCACAGCTCAGGAGACCTGGAAATCCATGGCTGTCTCGTACACTGTTTGCAATTTATGAACAAGTTGAGGAAATAATAATGACAGTGATTATTGAGATAAAAATCATGTTAAGATCCAAACTGTGTTATCGAATATCTCTTCCACATATTCCTTAAGTGTCTGTTTTTTTCTGAGGGGTGTGCTGACTGCCTGACTCAAAGACAACTGGAAAATGGGAATGGACAGTCTTCAGGGGACAAGTTAAAAGATCATTCATACAATCATAGGATCCTACAGAGCAGACGGAGGTCATCGGCCCATTGAGTCTGCTTCAACCCTTCCGAAGAGCATCCCGCCCAGAAGCATTCCACAGGGTTTGAAAACAAATCTTGGTATTCTTATATTTGTGTGAAGGGCTGCTTCAGACTGAACTTGACACTGCT